ATAGGGATGGGGGTGGAGTTTATGGAGGTAGCCAAACATTCAATAATTTTCTAGAGTAGTGCCTACCTGGGGAGTGTTAGTGCTGCCCCTCTCCTCTCCTCTCCTCTCTCTACTGCGTGCCCTGCCGTATGATTATGATGCCTTCTTCCCTTTGACTCTAACCCTCAGCCCTGCCCAGATGAACATGGGAGAGAAACTTATAATGCTAGTACTAGGAGGAATCTTGATGAGTTCTTGGCTTTTTTTTTTCACTTAGTATAGTCTCCGTTTCATAATGTAGTGTTGACACATCTTTTGAAGATAAAAATTTACAAACTTTAACCAAGTTTATAGGAAAAAACGCCTATGTCTAAATAAAAGCAAATACATATCGATAAATAATACTATGTGACATACCTTCATATGGTACTGTAGACATAAATTGTTTCCTTCATAAACATGATATGATCAATGTTGATAAAGTTAGATTTTTCACAAAAAAAAGTTAGTTATAGACACTAGAAAACAGAGGGTATTGTAGGTATAATAGTACTAGCTAGCTAGTGCGCCGCTATCCTCTAGTGTGCGTACAAGAAAAATCAAAGTTCAAGAAGGCGCTGGGCGTTACTTATGCGTTTTGTGACCTACTTGCGCACAACCCGCTTATGCGTCGCCTAGGCGCGCCTAGGCGTTTCCACTGTAGCATGAAGAAACAAGGTAGATGGGCTGATCTGGCCCATTAAACCACTGGCCCATCTATTCAATTCTCCTACTAAAGCCTCCCATATGTGCACAGTCGACAGAAAATTAGGCATCCTCCTCACGCCGCCCCTCTCCTTCCTCTCTCCCTTGCTGCACATGGGAACCAGTCAGCCAGTGAAGCTCGATTTCTCGCCGGAGATGCTTGATCCCTCGCCGGAATCAGTCGATTTCTCACCGGAAATGCTTGATCTCTCGCCGGAATCAGTTGATTTGTTGCTGGATTGGTTGAATCCTCGTCGGGGAGGATGGATCTTTGCTGGGGAGGTCAAATCCTGGCTGGGGAGATTGATTTCCTACCTGAGAAACACGATTTCTTGCCGGAGGACCTTTCTGGGCGCTTTTCTGAGCGCCTAGGTCCAAAGCGAGGCGCTATGCCAGCGCCCAGAGCATAAGCGCGCCTAGGCGAGCGCCTAGTAGCGCCTTCTTGAACAGTGAGAAAAATATTGAGTTTGCACATGGAGATGCATGTGTGTATGTGCTTTTCCAACAGTGACGAAATGGTTTTTGTCCCCCTTAACGGCTAGTGGATTATGGTTAAGAAGAAGGTGATAAACATATCCCTTCCGTGTGAGTCATAGCTGTCACCAGGTGACACATGCCCTCAAAAATGAAAAACCCACCAAGCAAGCAAGGCATGTGTTCCATTCCATGTCTTGCTACCTTCCCATCAAAGCCACGTACGTAAACAAACAAATAAATCTCCATCCATCCATCTTTCCTTCCTTCCCTCCTTCCCACAGCTTAGCCCATCACCTTGTTTCAAAAAAAAAAAAAACTTAGCCCATCATAGGCCACCCACCGAGAGGAGAAAGGTGTTCTTTAAACAAGGCGGCATAATTACCACCACGTACCCTTTGTAGTAGTAGTACATGGAGTAAGTTGTAATCCATGTGCCCTGCT